AAGAGGTGTGTAGAAGTTTCTGAAACTATTCTAAAGAGCATGTTTTAGAGGAGGAATGAGGTGTGGCAAGGGTCCAGCTTCGATTCAACATGAACTTAAACGAGATAAGTGGGACTGAACTGCAAACAAGACAGCAGCCAATCCAGAAACTAAAAAAATAATAATATGATTAGTATTAATAATAAAAATAAAACAATTAGGTTTGTCATTATTTTATTTTTTTATGAACAAACTTTTGAGGTATAAATAAAATGTAGGCCCTACGTCAGGTGATGCAACGTCCAGCATCATGTTTCTAAGCCGGTTCCTTGTGAACAGGGGAGATGTCGCTTTAACAAACCTGAGTTTTTATTATTTAAAGGTATTTATTCAGTGTTATTCTCTCATATGTCCCTTTATATCCATAGATATATATTTTATTCTTTTTTGATCTTCACGTTGTGCTCAGGTGGGTGGTTTGCTGAAAACCTTTCTGAGAGGACACAGTGTTGTGAATTTTTACATTTGGCTAAATGCTGCTTTTTCTGTTATAATACTTGTTGTCCGTACTATTCTGAATGTTCTTATCAGACCCTTTCAATCATTTGTTAATTTTTGATTTTGTTACAAATGCACAAATGTTTTTTTTTTCTTTTGTGTGTGTGTGTTTTTTTTTTTTTTGTCTTCTACTGTTTATATTTTCCTTAGCTGTTTGAATTATAATTTGTTTACCTGTTTCGTATCTGTGAATAATGTACTTTGGTTTCCTATAATGACTTCATCTGTTCCCAGTTTATTCAGATGCACTTTGATGCTGATGCTGCCTTTGCTAAATATTGTTGAAATAAAATCTTCATATTAAATTTTTTTTTTTTTAATTGACACATCGTCTGACCGATTGCTTCATTTCTGGACAATTTTGATATAGAAATGTTAAGTTCGTAGAGTGCAAGCAAAACAGCACATCAGAGGCAAACCCAACACCAGCTCAGCGAAGTAAAAAAAATCCCAGTGCGGCTGGTGTTTCTGATTTTTGAGTTTGGAGCAGAATAAATGTGGACCGGCCGTCTGGTCAGTCTGCTTCATTTACATGAGAAACAAGAAGCCATATCAATTCTCCTCTCTCATGCATTTACTCGCCCTGTCAGGACTACCTTATTAAAGATCCTATGCATTATTCAAAAAACACATTTAACATTTTTTTCCCTTCGGAAATAGATCTGTTAAACCTTAATTCTCCTGTCAATATTTAGAAAACATCGCAGATGTTTTTGCTGTCTTTAGCTGATTATGCAGATCGTTCCATCCTGATCACAGCGATTTACACCATTGAACATTAAAAACACGTAAAGATTGCGACAAAGCAGCGGACACAACTGTCTGTCTGTCTCCCCCTGTCTGTCTGAATCCATCCTCTCTCTCCCCCAATGTGTGTGAGAGTGTGTGCGTGTGTGTGGGTGTGCATGAGCATGGTAAGCTCAGTGCGTGTGTGTGACTGCATGGTGAAAGTATTTTAAAGGTCTATAATAATAATAATAATAATAATAATAATAATAATAATAATAATAATAATAATAATAATAATTGAATAATTAAACATTGACAAATCCAAATATAAAAGCAAAAATACGACAAACTTAAATTTTGAAAAAACCTCGGCACCCATGCTTTCTCGATTTTTTACCACATTTTTTAATGATATTGTATTTGTTTAAAAAAAAAAAAACTGAAAAATCGACAGACATGACGAAAATGAGAAATGTTACAAATATGTACTTTTAAAAGGTCGATGTCATTTTTACGTGCATGTTCATTAAGTAACGTCAGACATTTTTGGGTGATAATTGTGCACATTTTTCTACCTATTTTAAATGCATTAGATTGCAGGTAACAGACTGATTTTAGCATCTTGAAAGTGTTGAAGATCAAATTCCAAAAACTCAAATATAAAATAAATATGTGTAAATAAAAAGACACAAGCAAAGCTCGTCTTGAAGATGTCTTTTTTTCCCTTCATTTTTTTTGACAGTTTATCAGCGTCCAATGTTAAGCTTCTTCTCAATAAAAGTTATGTTGAAATTATTTTTAAGCAGAAGTAACTGAGATAAAAAAAAGAAGTGGAAAATGAAGGAGAGAGCTTCAAATAATGCTCGTTTCAGGTCGGTGATACGGTGAATAATGGAGAAATCCTCGAAGCTGCTGTCACAGTCTCCGGGTGAGACCCATGGGGTTTTACGCGCTTTAGAGCGGCTCACTGAAACAGAGGGATCCCAAATCAGAGCCAGATGAACACTTCAGGCAGCAGCCATGCACCCGCTGATGGTAAACCCATCCAAACAGGACGAGGGGGAGAATCGCAGACCTCTGCGAGGCCAAGCCTCTCGAAATGCCACTTCGTGCTCGCTGAATATGCACGGAAACGTAATAAACTTGCAGACCTGATATTCCCGATGTCAAGAAGAGCACACACGCAGAAAAAGAAAAGAAAACAAAGGAGAAAGAATGAAAAGGGGGGGAAAGGCGACGAGATGAAAGATGACAGGTAGAAGCGACACAGAAGGCAAGTACAGATCTAAGATTTTCCCCTGAGGTCAAATCCAAATCCCAGCCATGATGTATGGATGATGTCATCTGTCTTGTTTGGACCAAACAACAATGAATGCTGTTTATTTTATTATTATTATTATTTTTTTGCTTGTTTGTTTTGTTTTTTGTTGTTTTTAAATAACTATTAATAATTTATTAAACAAAATAACAAATGACATATGCAGAGGAAGGAAATCATTTTGAATGGAATTTGGAAAAAGAAAAAGAAAACAACGCCCAAATCCGATTGTCAGAAAATAGATAATTATAATAAAATAATAATTTCAAATAATGAGGAATACTAAACCAATCAAGACAGTGAGATGATCCAGAATAAGGATGAGCTCAGTAGCTTCAAATACTATCTAATTTCGGGATTCTGTTTGCCTGCACATCAGATTTCACTCACTGGGTTTCTTTGCTAAAAAAGGAAACAAAGGAAATACAGACATTACAATTCCTTGTTGTAAAACAGTCCACAGCAGCTCATTTGAAGCTTTGTGGGATCAAACCTTCAGACAGCGTGGGAGCCCACCTCCCCACTTATGTGACTGTAACCGAGGTACGTTTAACCTCTGTAAGCTCTCAAACTCTAAACTTTGTTCAGGTTGCCGGTAAGCTCCACTGATATTTGCTGTGTGTGGCAAGCTGTGGAAGGGTGGAGGTCACAGAGCTTTGCTTGTCCATCAACTGTTTTGGCCTTTGAACTTGAAATACCTCAGTAGAGGTGAGACCCCCCCACACACACACATACCCCCTCAGTGTTCCTGCAACCAATAAAACCAAGTGCCTGGTAGAGCTGTTTCCTTTTTAAGGTGTTAGCTTGTAAAGAAGGTTAACAGTACAGGTGTTTACTTTTGCATGACAGGTACACCACCGAAGGTTGAGCGAAGATCATAAAATCAAGAGGTCTGCAGCACTCCATAAAATGCTAACTTTCATGCTAGAGTTGGTTATAAACACTGAGACATAAACAGAGAGTGAATTCAAACCTCATAAGATCAGTTCTTAAATAGAAACATATCCTAAGAGGCCTCACATATTAGAAATAGCTGTAAGGAAGCCTGCTATCACATCTAACATGTCATAGAAGTTTGCAATGCAGATGACCTTGAAGTAATAGAAAAAAAAATTCTTAATTTGATTTTTTATTTTATTTTGCATCTGTTGTGTTTAAAATGTGATTATTATTCTTATTATTGTCTTTTTTTCTGACCATAAAAGAGTCCATAGCAACAGCTATTTGGTTACTTCAACACATGCAGACAAATTATGACATTGGTGTGGATTACACCATGTTAGATAGACAAAAAGCTAAATATGGCCACATCAACACTTTGATAATAAATAAACCAAAACTCAACCATCTAAACAAGCCATTTTTTTCTGTTTATAACAGAAAAAACATGTCAACATAAAAAACTGCTTTTCTGATCCAAAAGGTCACACCTGTCCCCGGGTCAGATGACCAGTAGTGACTTCATATTCTCTTTCACATCTGACAGGAGTACATGTGTGCACAGAATCACACATTTCTTCACTTCCTGAAAGCTCAGTTTACATACACATCTTGAACCTGTTTTATAACTCCAATAATTTCATGCAGGACTATTGGAAGCCTGTACATCATGTATTTGAGGAGATTCTTTTAGGCAGGTACTTATGGAGACTTTTTGACATTTTAGCAAAATGGTACCTTTTAAAAGTGTTGAAAAGCTTTTAATTTTATACTTATTATAGGTTTCAACCATAGACTTAAATATATTTCACTAGGATTTTATTTGATAAACCAACATAAGCTGGCGCATAATTGTGAAATGAAAGAAACATTTTACACGGAAGTCTAAGAAAAAATATGAAAAAATAAGAATCTTATAAGTACAGAATGTGATTAGTGTTCTACACTTTGTAGAACCTTGTTTCTGATTCATTCCAGACTCAGATCTTTTAGATGATAGTTTCTGCCCAACTGTTTTTATTGCCAGTCAGCTCAGTCTCAGTCAGATTTGATGGAGAGTCTATGAAGATCAATTTTCAAGCTTTGTTATTAATTCTTAACTGGATTTCAGTATGGAGTTTGACTTAATGTATTAATGAAAAATGTATGCATCGGATCATAACTCTGTTGTAAGGTGACATCCCAGTTTCAAGTCTTTTACAGTGCCTGACATGGTTTCTTATAGGATTACTCTTCTTTAAGCTTCATCCATTATCCCATCTCCTTTGACCACCTTCCTAGTCTATGCTAAAGATCATCCCCACTGCCAAAGCCACGTTTCACTGTGGTCTGAGCTTGGGTGATGCACAGGGCTAGCTTTATGCCAATCATAACCTTTTTGCATGTAAGACAAAGTTTGATTTGCGTCTGCTCTGACCAAACAACCTTCATTTACATTTGTTTTTTTTTCTCCAACATGACTTGTGGACATTTTCAGCAATGGGATTTGTCTCGCCACTCAAAGGTCAGTTTTATGCTGTAGACTAGTAACAATCCTTTTTACAGCCTCAAACTTTCTTCCTGAGACACCACTGACTATTGTCTCCTTTTACATAGGTTCAGGTGGATTGCCATGTCTTGGTAGGTTGTACATGCTCTTATCATTTTGAGATGATGAGTTGACCAATGTTTGATCAATGTTTATAGTCTAGGTTATTGTTTTATAAGCTAACCCTATTTTCTTAGATATGTCATGTGTTTGCTGGTCTGTTTTCTCTTACTAATACTCCTGAAAAACTTCTAAGACTTTCACAGTACAACTGCAACTATACTGACTTTAAATGGTTTATTACATGAAGTCCTAATAAAATACACTGAGGTTTATTATTGTAATGCAAAAAATTATAAACAGTTTAAGGAATAAAAATGCTTTTGACAGGCATGACTTTTTCCTGATGTTGGTTTTGTTTAGTGTCTAAAATGTCTAGTTTTTGTCAGGAACAAAATACTCAGAAATATCCAACCTGAAATCTTCAGGTTGGCGTATTTTAGGGGTGTTTTTGTTTAGCTGAAAGAAGTGATTAACAGAAAATAATAATTATGCCAGTGTTTTTCTTTGATGAATAAAACAATCCTGACTGAAATTTGACGGTACTATTCATGAAAAATATTGTATGAAAAGTGATATTGTATTGTCAGAGAGGCTTCATTAACAATCCTAAATGTATTACTTTTAGTGTTTCAGCCCACATCAATTCACAAAGACAGATTGGAGAACAAATCCAAATAATCTTGTATATATATATTTTTTTGAGCTACCACAAAGTGCCTGAGCTATACTGATGATGTGGAGTTATGAGCCACATTCTGGCAGGTTTTGAGCATTTTGAACATTCATGTGAGTTACAACAACTGTATCAACCTGCATTTATTCCACCTTTTGATGTCAAGCTTCTTACTATCTGCAAATACAAGTCTCCAAGAGGGAAGGCCAAGGGAAACAGGAAACAGCTTTTTACAGGTCCTGTTTAGAAATGCAAATGTATAGTAAGGGCACCACTGTCCAATTACATATATCTTTCATGTATAAAATCATGCATGCCTTTTTTTTTCTGCTCGGAGAAGGCTCGCACAAGGGGAGAAACCCTGGCTGCAGAAGAACAGTGAAAATAAGGTCGAGTGTCGGAGCCCTGGAGCCCTCCTTCAGCACGCAGGAGAGGCGGGAGGGATGATGCTTCCCCCCAGATGGAAATCCTTTTTTCTCCTGAATTCGGCTTTATTATCATTCCCCTCCTTGGAAGGCAGCTGATCTGTTTGAGCTTAATTCAGATTTTATTAAAATTATTTCCAGATTGTGACAGTGACAATTTCTGCATTAACAAATATATTTTTTATTTTTGTATGTTTTCATATAAGCAACCTTCACATGCTTTCATAATAAAATAAAACACAGACTTTTCTTTATTTGCGTGTCCTTATTCTCATTGTCAAAACAAGTGTGTTTAGATCCTTAAATCCAAGTGACTCATCTCCTGCTGGTTTTGCCATATTTTCTTCCTTTGTTAAAATATTCTTCCTTGATTTCATGAACCAATTTTTCTTATTATCAGACATAATTTCAAGTGAAGAACAATCTCCTCTTTGTGTCATTGATAAACAGTTTTACCTTTTGAATGAAAGATATCTGATATCGTTTGAGTCAAAGTCACTGCAGAGAAATGAAAAAATGTTTTCAAAAACAAAATTATTTGGTACAGTGCCAATAACTTGGATCCAGGACTTGAATGTCAACAGAGAGACATATTGGCAAACTAAAATGAGAAGTTAGGGGTCTATGCATTAGAAAATTTAAATTTTTTATATCTAACTCACAAACGTACCAAAAACTCTTTCAATAAACATGCAATGCGAGCTTGTGGTCACAATTTAACTGCAAAAAATCCACTTTGGATTTTCTAAGATTTTAAACATTTAAATTTGACAGCATATGCACTTCTTTCAGGATGAGAACATGAAAGTGCATAGTTTGTTTTGTTTATTTTGAGGTCATTTTGAAGCTGATTTGGATAAGTTCAGATTATTTTTCAAGAGGTCCATAGTGCGCAACACATAAGGCTTTGCAGACAGCTTTTCATTTCACATGAACTACATGTAACTGCATATATTAGTTACATGTCGGCATGTGGATGTTAACTGTCTCCTCTCAATCAAGTAATATTTATGGAAAATGTGCAAAAAAAGGCATGTATTTTAAGAAATAAATCTGAACAGCAGGATGCTACACTGGTAAAGAGATAAGCAAAGTAGTGGTTGGTTAATGTGGCTTAATGTCTGGTTTGCAGAGAAACTGCTAAAATGATCTCACAGATTCTGTCATAACATGAACAAACAAAGATGCTTCAAGAAGGTTGTTGTTGAATTTTGCCTCATTTCATGGCTTTCTTTCTTTTCTTTCTTCTCCCTTTTTCCCCAAACAATTCTATATTTTAAGTATTGCTAACAGACAGAAAATATCACGCATCTGACTCAGAACAGTTTGGTCCACACAGCACTATGACAAATTTAGAGAAATGGATGAACAAACTCAGCCTTCCCGTCTCACACACACGCAAACATATTATATCGTCTGTATGTCTATTGTAATGGATGTATAGATTTACACACACAGAAGCATCCCAATAAATTCAAATGTCATTGAAAGATTGACTTGAGACTTGCTGAAAATATTATTACATAAGATCAATAAGAAATAAGTGTTTTTCCATTGAAATGTCAACTGAAAAGTATGTCTATGCATTGTACAATACAGACTCTAAGATACATGGTCAGGGTTGCTTTTTGAAGAATTACTACATAAATGCAGCTTTACATGGAGACTCTCAATCTGTGACTCAGCTGAGGTGTTAAGGAAGCCCAGGTAGCTTTAAGAAACAATGGCTTAATAAAACACAACGGGCCGACTAGGCAGAAGACATGGGTCACCAAATCATCACTGACTAGTGAAATTCACACTGGACCTCAAGCAGTGCATCAGTCCAAATCTCACTCTTTCTCCAGACCCTAACACCTTGTTTATAAATGAAAATATAAATTTGAATCAATCTGAAATGCTAATTTGAGATTAGTGAGAAACAGCCCTGTCCTTTTTCCTCCTTACTTATATTTCCAGGCACTAACACAGTCTCTAGTTAACATGTGATCAAACACAAGGCATGTGACAAGTTAGACATTGAGCTTGAGTACCTTTCCCTTTCACATTTTTCCTTCCATCCAACTTTCTATTTGCTTGCTTGGATAAAGTCATCTCCAGTCGCAGTGACCTTTCATGGCTTGTGGTTCTTGTGGAGACTGTGAGTGGTTTTCATTAGCTGTAGCCAATTATCAAGCTCAACAGAAACAAAATTATTCCTCTGCAGACTTCAAACTCTTCATAATATTTTTGCTCAAACTTCACTGTAAAAGAGTTTTGTTTCAAATCAGCTGTTTGGGAGATGTAGAGAGCTATTAGTGAGATTTTCAACATTCCTATGAACTGCCTCAATGTTTACACATCCACAGCATGATTGTGAGGTTAATTTGATGGCGATAAAATATGTGATAGAAAACCTGTGAAAACCGTGGCTCTGTTCTGTCGTCATAGATATGTGTGACTGAAGCTGAGAAGATGATTAATGCAAAAGTGACTGCATAAAGCAATGCTTCCCTTAACATATTGCTGAAGCTAATAAAGTTGCCATTATGAGTCCTAAGCTACCAACCTGAAGTGTGCATGCATGGAAGGAAATTTCTACATATTCAAAACCTCTAATCCAAGAGCAACAAACAGAAAACAGGGCATGTAAATGGGATATTTCTCAGCCAGATATTGCTTCACACCAAATGCAAAAACAAACTAACCATCTGGGGAGCAAGTTCAAAGAGCATACAATGTTAGAGACCTCAGTTACAGGTCTGTATAAGCAGTGGGGTCTTTACAGCCTTACCTGATAGAGGTTTTTGGTCTGAGTGTCCCCTCTTTGACTGGGTCTCCAACTCGGGTGATTGTTTGAAGTCAGCATGCAGAAAGGTCACGCCCTCCTGGTCTCAGCACGCTTCTTGTGGACATGGACAGGCAACCACTATTACTAATATTGTGATGGTTCTTCTTTGTATGCAGAAAATTAATGAAAAGTGTAAAGCTATTGATTCGGTGCCTGGGCACCTGAAGTTGTTTTGGTGAGATACTCCTAGAATTCCAGGTATTTCCAGGGTTTTCCAAAGCTATGTGGTTTGGGATTTAGGGACTCCCAGGTCACACGAACAGCATATCAAGATGACACCATCGCCTAGAGTAAGAAGAGAAGAGAAAGAAAAACTGGACTTAGGAAGATTTTTCAAAACACTTGGAAAACATTACAACAAAGGAAAACAAAAGTTCCACGGCAGTCTGCTGTAAGCCCTGCAGTTTCTGTGCCTCATCCCGGAAATATGAGCACATAATAAATGTCTTTCAGAGGAGGCAAACCAGAGCAGTATGATTTCCATCAAGACTTCAAAATTAATCATCTGTTTTCAGAGTCAACAAAATTAATCTATAATTATTTGTATGCTACCACTGCTGGACAGCCTCGCATGATTTCAAGATTATATTTAATAGCAAATGAACTGCTGTGAGTAATTTCTTTTCTCATACCACTGAAGACTTTTCAGATGAAAAATGAAAAGAAGATTTGCAGAGAAACTTAATTTCCCTGTAACTGGAACAAGTCGTATTCCTGTAATAGCATATATAATTGCCTGTTCTGCAGAGGATCTCCAGCACATGACAACAAAGTCTCATAAACAATACTTATTTATTCAACTGTCAATTCCAGCAATAATAGTAAAAAAAAAGCGTCTTAAAAAAAAGGCTTTGAATTCCACGAGGGCCTGGTTTGTGAAGCTGGGTAAATATGCTTGTCATCTGTTCCAATAGTTCCACAGTGACAGAGTTAGTTTGGGAATACGGCTGGGATCGGCAGACAGCTTGTGATAACTGAATTGCTCTTTTGAAGCTACATCCATTTGGAAGCACTGTGCAATGGTTTTTACCTCTGTGGTTAAGCTGGAGTTGAAGCCTGTGTTTAATTGTTCCCATGAGTTCTTAGTGTGGCGCTGATAAGGAGCTCTGGGAGCAACATTTAAAACTGCAGCTGAAAAATAACTTGAGTGTCTCTGGCTGCAGGTCTGAGTGACGACAGAGTATCCACAAAGCGAAGACAAAGTTAGATCGGTGAAAAGGGGAGAAAAACAACAGGCCGACAGCAGCAGAGGTCGAGTGTGACTGTAAGCTACACTGAGCTGAAATGTTTCATTTGTTTTTTGTTCGTTTTTTTTTTTTTTTTCCTGACTTCAGCTTCTTAGAATCCGCTTGAAATATCAATTCCAATAATGTTTCTTTCAAGCTATTTTAAATAAGAGGGGGGCATAGTGTCTCTCTTGCTAATCAATAACTAAATTATTTTTATGACACTGTTTTGTCAGCAGTTACAGCAGAAGAAGAACAGCACAGTTAATTTGTCATCCCTGCCTTCGTGTCTCTCGTGCTCCATCCAAGGCCACGACTTCCAGGGTTTGTCGGGTTAGACCTGTGGGAGTGTGTGTGTCGGATCAATAGCCCACCCACAGCAGAGCCGCGGGCGATCCCTGACCTGGGGTATTGATTAGGCTTGGCTCAGCTGCCAATAGCAATGTGCTGGATGTGACACTGGGCTAAAACAGGAGCTGAGGAAGGGGGATTCTGAATTGCCAGTGGCAGCCCCACAGCACACCGCAGATAAAAGTCAATTCCACTTAACCAAATCACTGACAACTAAATAGTTAGATACAAGAATGCACAGAGTGTGTGATGGCAGCAGCTGGGTGGCTTTGGGGATTTCCCTTTTCCATGACCTGTATCGAAAGAGCACAAATGGCCAGAAGAGGCGCATGTTTGTTTGTCTTTCAATGTGGTGACAGCTCCGTCTCTTGGTTACACCTGACTCAACTATACATTGATTCCTGTAGACTGAGCATTCATCAGGTGTTTAGCATTGACTGATGTTCACTGATATTTAAGGAATCTGTAGCACTTCATCAGAAAGGCAAAAAAAAAAAAAAAAACTCATTGTGGCAGCTCAGCTTTTCTAAATGAACAAAACATGAAACTTTTAAAAGCAGCTATTAGTTATGATTTTTGCTGCGGAGTTTTTCTGTGTAAAGCAGCTCCGTTGCAATTGTCAGACTCCTTTCGATCCATTTTGCTCCCAGTCATTACGAGCCAATATTAGAGTAGTTTACATGTCACTTTACCGGTACTTTGCCTCATGAATGTAATTCTGTGGCTAGTGATTCTGCGTGCATTCAGCACGTATCTATGACTCCATATCTCTCCTGGTAATTGCTGAGTGACAGAAAGGCAATACTGACCACTTCATTATAAGACAGCTAGACTAACTGGACAGTGGCCTATTGGCTCTGGGTCACTCAGGCCAGACTGACCTTATCTGCCCAGGTCGTCAGGGGTCAGTCACCCAGGAAGTGTTAGGACTTTACTAAGGTTACCGTAAGTGGCATACGAGGTCAACTGACCCGGGCGAATTGTTCCTATCAGGTATTGATTGCAGTTTGTCTGCTTCAGCCGAGGTTAGACTAATCTCCCAACACCAGGGTCTCAGGGGCAAAGACTTCAGGGTAAAGTTAAGCATTGGAACTAACAGCAGTGATAGTGCAGCTTGTGGATACAAGTGAACATAAGAGGGTCCACCAGAGGAGCTGTGGGGATTTGGGATTTGGGAAGAGAGAGATATAGCAGCAAGACAGAGACAGTGATTGTTCATTCTTAAAAAAAATGTTGTACATGGGCCGTCAAACTTTGAGGAGGGCAGTTTTTTTCCACAGCAAACTGAACAGATTTGTACCACTCACTACTCTGTAAAGTCTTATCTTCATTTTTTTAATTTTTATTTTATTTTGACATAATAGCTACTCCTTGCAGCAGCTTACAGGACATAAACCACACATTTTATTCTGGCAAATCTATACTAATGCAAAACTGCCAGAAAATCAAACCCTCAACTTAAAAACCAGAGCAGACCGGGACCACTTACTCCATCTAAAAATCACAATGAACACGACAAAAAGGAAGATGACACAATAGAACAGCATTGCACTGAGGCATGACTCATCCTATTTTCTGAGGAATATTTAAATAGGGATCAAAATCAATGTTCTTCATTATTACTCCACAATTTCTGTTTCGTTAATAAAAGAAAGAAACAGATAGAGATTGTTTAATTAAATAGATAATACACATTTTATACTGAAAAGCCATTTTGCTAAAATATCTGTTCCTTTTAAGAACAGTGCAAAGCAACACTGTAAAGCAATGGTTGGAGTCCTGATCACATAGATTTTAATGTGATATCAGCCTGGGATTCAGGTCTGGAAATTATTCAAAACAATGGTACAATTTTTTGTTCTCTGTATATGGCAAATAAAATTCTTCAGCTTGTTTTAGGATGCATTATTTTTTTCTTTCAGCTTTTGTTGATGTTTGCATCCAAGATTTTTAAGTTAAATGCAGAAGGCACTAATCAGTCATTGTTCAAACAGCACAATACAACTCCAAAAGTTGGCATCTCTTCTTTGAGCCTGCGATCTCCTTTACTACAACATAGGGAGACAAATATATGAGATTGTTAGTCAGTAACTATGTGTGCGTTTGTGTGTGTTTGTGCCCGTTAGTGTCTGTGCAAGCGCCTTTATGTACATACTAAAGCATCTCTGTTGCTCGTTAACTCTCGTCTCTCTGCAACTGCTTGCCACCGTACATATTAAATCACATTAATGGCAGATGAGCTCTTGCTCTGGAGAGACAGGCGTCTATTTGAAACTGCGTTTTATTGCACTTTGTTCCGTTTAATCAAAAAAATGCTATGTGAAGAGATAACCCGGTTTTAAAAAATCTCAGATAAACAGCAACGATTGCATCTTTAAATAATAAATGACCCTCTGCCTCTTACAGACGGGAATATGACTGAAAATAATTGAAGACAACAATGTCCTATAAGAGTACCGCTCCTGCAGTGCTGATTCAGAATCCCTCATAACTTCAAACGCTCTGTCATAAAGTATGGATAATCTGCAAAAGAAAAGGCAGGCGTGGTTGTTTACAATTTCTTTCTAATTAAGGCTACAGGATGGGGTATACTCCGTTAAAGTTGATGTCTGTTTGTAAGACTTTGCTAAAAACCCTGTAACTGTTGGCAAATTAGGGGTGGAATGGAAAAACGAAACAAACAACGACACTCTAATATGATTTTCAGTCATGGAATAAATATTTCACAATCTGTCTACATTTGACACACTTTTAGTCAAGAACAAAGGATTCCTGAGGAACAAATTGCACAAACTGAAACTTGAGATAATAACCTCTTTGACCTGCATTAATTCAGCATGTAACTGTATATGATTTCTCCTCAATTTCTATGGAGCTTTTGTTTTAAGCTGCTAAAAATTTCTGTTGGTAAGTATGGAAGGTGCATGCTGAAACAGATCAAGAAGGGCTAGTCAAAACAAGATGGTTGGTTTTTGAATTGTTCACTAAAAAGGATAAACCAGCTAAAAAAAAAAAAGAAAAAAGCAGCGATGCCTTATTACTGTTGCTTTTTGACTCTCATTAGAGTGCACGCAAAGTTGCCGAGTAACATAGCTCCTAAAACAACAGCTATGGTCTTCATATAATATATAGACCATGTACCTTAACAGACGCAGTTGTGAGAGCAGAGAAAATGAAGCAAATAGCATGCAGATGAAAGTTTTTATGTCTTCTATTTATTTATTTTTTTGTCTGTGAACAGGCAAGCAGTCTGCTGTGTGTCTGAGAGGGATAAGGTAGTGCTTGATGATTAATCACTGGACATAATAACACTTCTCACCACGAGCTCACAGTCCAGCTGATTCTATGATATGATTGAGGCAGATTAGAAAAGAGAAATAATCATTCCTGACAGTGCATTCATGGCACACTTTAATGACATCTTCTGATTGGACCTAGTGGAGAAGATAATGCAGGCTTTCTTTGGAGAGCCTTCTAAGATTATTTCTTTAACTTCATGAAAAATGGGGAGGGGGGCATGGGCCTGGATGCTGCTGATTTGAGGATTAAGATAAGATGACCTTTCACATTATGTTACTATGTATAAAAGATGAAGTTTACAGTTTTTTTTTTATAACATTAGAGCTTATCAATGGCCTGAGCCTCCATGAAGCCCCTTTGAACATCACAATGGTTTTTGTAGGTTGGTGTACAACGGGCTTCTACCCC